CACCACTCACTCACCGTCCATGCAGCAGCAGTCAATCAAATCACGAATCCCTCACGCCCTCACGCCCTCACGCCCTCACGCCCTCACGCCATCCCCCACCCCCATTCAGCTTTCGCAGAATTGTGTACCCGCCCAGTCGGCAAGTACCGGCCGGTGTATACGCAAGCAAGCCCGCCTTGGATGCTGGGCCTTCGTGAGAGGCATCGTATGCCACCTATAACTCTGACTGAGCTGCTCAGCTGCCGTTCCCACGCAAAGAGGTGCGTGTCTTGCTCAAGCGTGAGCGCAGCCCATCCATCACATGCGAATTGTTCTAGAACTCGACTGGAAGATGCGCGATCAGCTGCATACAGAGGGAGGGAGATACGGCGCGGGCGACGCTCACACTTCCGACCACTTTGCGCGAGGCGGGTCAATTCGATGGTCTGACAACTATATGATCATACTCTGTGACTTGTGACTGGTCGTGAGTGAGTGAGATCACGAGGGAGCAAACCGTACGGTCACAGGAGCATAAAGAAGACGGTCTAAAGGAAGCGGGTAGGGATCACGCAGCTCGTCTGCTCTGCACTTGGACCCTGCTCAACGTCGAGGGGTGTCACTCGAAGGACCGCAAGACCCAGCTTTCTTGTATTGCGAGCATCGCATCGACACTACGAATGCCAATCTCTCGCAATGTCAGGTAGGAACCTCTGGCTCGAGGGTCGTCGAGCATTCTCGAATCGGTCAGAAGTGTGCGGGCGATGCTTAGCCACATCAAATGCGACTCTCACGCCGAGCACACAGCCTACTCGACTCAACCGGTCCTACTCGTCCTTGCGGCAAGGTGATTCAACAGCCTTCGTCACCCATTCGCACCAAGAGAGAATCTCGCATTCGGCAGCAACCCTACCCTCGCGGAGAAGGCTCAGCACCAGCTCATTTCTGGCTCGAGCTCACAGGGGTACAACACCGGATCACCAAGCTGATCAGCACACAATCGCGGGTGAAATACGGCGATTGATGAGCTCATCAGCCCAACCAGTAGCACTGCTCTTGACCGCTCTGCCTTCTTCGATAGACGAGGTCAACTCGACATCGTCTCACTCGCGTGCGAATCGCACCACGGTGGAGATACACGGCGCAACGATCAGTAGTCTTACATCGCTGTCATTATCGCCACCTCTGGTCGGCTTTTCGCTCAGAACACCATCGAGAGCTGCCAATGCTCTTCTTGGAGCGCAGCAGATGAGCAATGGCCCCACATTTACCCTCACCCTCCTGGCTCATGCAGATTCTGATGCTGACACCGACGCAGCACAGCACGCATCGTGCTCCAATCTTGCAGGCGCCTACGCTGTCCCTGGTCTCGAGGCCTACTCACTCGCCTCTGACTGGTCACACAAGAGTCCTGCAGGCCCGAAAAGGCCAAATGCGGCCGATCATCCTTTATCGAGCGCCAAACTTCTACCTTCCTCCGCCTTCGCATCATCTGGTCGCTCGAACACACCCATACCCTACCTAGCCCACGCGCTAGGTGCATTTTCCTGCAGTCTAGAAGCGCGCATCCGTCTCGCTTCCCTTACATCACATAGCTCGAACGAATGCCCGAATCTGCTCTCCAAATCCCTCAGTGCTCCATACTCGCCGCGCAAACTCAGACTAGACACGACGTTGGCCGTTCCGAGCGAGCAGGACGAGACGCTCGCAGAGTCCGTCGAAGCGCAAGAGACTGGCAAGTCTGACACTGCAGGTAAAGAGTCGCAAGAAAGCTGGTTGCTCATAGCCAGAGTTTGGGATGTTCACGGGTCAGACAGCACCGCGCGACAAGAGGCCGACGATGCAAAGCCTCTGGTATGGTGGAACAAACATTTTACCACTGTGCAAAAGTGAATGATGCGAATTCAATCAAGTCTGCCACTCCGTCCAGCTCGAGTCTTTCCGAGAGCCAAGATTGGCCTTGCCTAATTTGCAGCGATTGCATCACGCGCGATCGATAAGATGATTGCTGGGAAAGGGCTACATTACACGTGAGATTGAGCGTTGCAGGGAGAGGGCGCGGGCGCGGGCTCAAGCCATTCTAATCGAAGGGAACCCGACGAACGTTGCTGGCAAATCCCGTGTTGCTAGTAGGACTGACTCCAATCTCGCGGTTGCCAGCCGATCTGATCTTCTCCTGCTCAGCAGCTGCAAAAGCGCTGGGAATAGGGATCCCGCAGCAATCTCCCCAGCCCGCAGCTTGTCCTTCTCCCTTGCCCATGGCTGCATGTCCATGAGGTGCAGCTCCATGAATGTGCCCGTGCTCATCTTCCTCCGCCGCTCCTCCTCCTCCCTCAGCACTTTTCAACGCTGCCTCGTCGTCGGCTTCATCTTCCGCTGTTCGAGGAGCAGGAAATGGTAATAGAGAGCCAAAGAAGATGTGCTGCGCGATGGGAAGCTTGAGCAGTACTTCGGCCAGGTACATCTTTTGCATCCCGCTGTTGACTTTGTACCACGTCCTGACACCCGAGATGTCATCAAGCATTGGCGAATGCCACCTGAGCGATGCAGTCTTGATCTGTGAACGGTGTTGAAGTTGGGTTCAGCATAGTGATGCGGATGGCTCAGTTTGACGAGCGCGCCTCGACACGTACGCTGTTGATGAAGCGAATGCAAGCAAGGTACATGTAATGCGCCGAAAATTCTTCGACGATTTCGGCATCATGTATAGCTTTTGGTCGCAAGTGCTTGTGATCTGCAGAGAGTTCAGGGCTGTCAGCATTTGACACTGATCAATTCAGACGAATCGGCGCTGCACACACACCTCTCAATTGAGCACTTCCCCACAAGAAGGGCAAAAAGTGGTAGTCATCCAGGCCCCAAACCCCGTGACTGCCGGCAGGCTCCAGCCAATACGTGCTCTGGATAAATCGCATCACGCCAATGTATCTCCAAAAGACTTTGAGCACGATAGCTGGCGCGTCCTTCTCGAGATCAAACACGCTGAGCTTGGTCAAGCAGTACCTGACGAGGTCGTCGAGGTGCCATGCATCAGCAACGGGCGACACCAATGCCTTTGCAGCCCCCGCACTCACAGCCAACACGCAAAGTTGAGCTCCATTCCGGAGCCGTAGTCTATTCTTCTAGCATTTCCCCAAGACTCGTCGAAGTACACCTTGATCTCCTTGATAGCTTCCTGCTTCAAGCCAGGGATACTCTCGTGCAAGGATGCGCTGCTGTCCGTGATTTTGGCGTACAAGTCTCTGAACGCTGCATTGCCAAACCTGCTCGAGGATGATTTGTCCGCTGGTGTCTCGACGACCAGCGCTTGGATGCTGTCAAGGATGCCGAGGATGGCTTGCGTGGCCTGGCGAGAGAGACACTCCAAGTGAATGAGCTGAATGCGCACCATTGTGCGAGTGAAGCACTCACTGGACTGAGGTGTACCTCTTGCCCCAGCTTCCTGCCCACCACAGCCTCGTTGCATACAGCGATCCAAGCCCCGAGCTGCTTGATACTGCCAGATTCTCGCCAGCGATCGAGCTGCCTTGGATTGATTATACGCTTTTTGGGAACGGCGATGGGCGCCTGCTGCGCTTCAGCTTGATCCAACCTCAATATCTTTGGATCGAATGGACTGAACTCGGACGACTCGCTGTTCACCTCCGTGACTGGTAGCGAGGAGGCAGCAGACTTTGTAGCGGTGATGTGAGAGCTTGGTGCAGATCCTTCCTCGTCGGCAGACGGCTGGACCGCAGATGGCATACGAACGGATGTGCCTTGCAGGTTGTTTGTTCTGGAAGCAGCAGCTGCGCCATCATTGTCGGAGCGCTTGGCTCGCAATTTCGATGTGAGCAGGTCGAGCTTGCTGGACGAGCTACCTGGTGGCGGTGCTGCGACGTCTGCCGAAGGTGACATGATCAGTAAAGAAAAGACGCTTCAAGCTTGAGAGCGTGGCACAGGTATGTGGTGGGACGGGAAGAGTGCCTCGAAGCACATTGTGAGTGTAGCCTTGGTGAGGTCACGAGTTAGGAATCGTCAAAAGTCGCAGCCATGCGAGATGAAGAGGCTTGCTGGTTGTCAGCCTGCTCTGGTCTCTGCTGTCTCGTAGGATGGTCTGGCGCGCGCATGTGCACCTCAGCAGTTGCGCATGCTGTGCGGTGGAGGCGCAACACGTGAGGGGGCGTTGCAGGTTGCAAACTCGTGAGCACTCGTGCGCGTGCGCGTCCCTAATTGATGCTGCTCATGACGCTCGTCCAAATCAAACTCGCACCTCGCATCTCACAACAACTTGCACTCGTGACTCGACAGGCGGAGCCAAAGCCGATGTCTCTCTGGAATTTGCCCATTCGCAGTCGTCGATCAGCGAGCCCACCACGCTCAGCACTCGTATAGGGACTCTCGAGGCCAGGGAAGGGCAAATTGCTTGCCTCTCAGCCATCATTTCCGAGCTGTGCCCCCACACGCATTTCGCTACTTTCGAACGGTGCTCGCGAGCTCACTCTTCGAAGAGGAACTGCCCTGCCCGCTGACGGACGCTCACATTCGCCGCTCCCGATCACGCGATGAACCGCCTCTTTGGCTCGCGTCAAGCAGCGCCCAAGCCGAGCTTGGATGAGGCTATCAAATCCACGGATGCTAGAGCAGAGGGAGTGCAAGCCAAGATCCGAAACTTGGATGTGGAACTTGCCAAGTACAGAGATCAGCTGAAACGTGCGCAAGGAGCCGGTAGGGTGAGTGTCTGCTCGAGTTTTTGGGGCCCGGGTCGTTGGTCAGCTATGGAGCATGGAAAGGGCAACGATGAGGCAGGCAGTACAACACGCTGACTTCCTTTACGTTTCTGTGCACAGAACGCTATCCAGCAGCGTGCGCTTCGAGTGCTGAAGCAGAAGCGACTGTACGAAGGGCAGTACGGGCAACTGGTGCAGCAGTCTTACAACATGGCGCAAGCCGATCTCACGACCGAGAACCTGCGCAACACGATGGCCACCGTATCGGCTATGGATGCGGCGAACAAGGAAATGAGAAAGACGTATGGAAAGATTGATCTCGACAAGATCGAGAGGACGAATGACGAGATGCAGGATCTGATGGAGATGGCCAATGAGGTGCAAGAAAGTCTGGGCAGGCAATACGAAGTTCCCGACGATATCAACGAGGATGAGCTGCAGGCCGAATTGGATGCGCTGTGAGTGGCAAATGGCCCTGCGCGTATTTGCGGCCTTGCTGACCCTGGTCGTCTGTTTGTCTTTGATGGCAGCGGCGACGATGTGGCTGCCGAAGCTCTCACCGAAGGCGCAACGCCCAGCTACCTCAACAATGCCGAGGGCGCCAAGGAGCTCGATGGCCTTCAAGCTCCGACCGACCAGATCGGTGAGGCGGGAAAGGTGGGTGTCTCGTTTGGACCAATCTGCCGAGTGCTGAGCGTGATGGCCTCGCTAATTTCACTCTGCGCTTCGTCTCCTTCAGCAAGAAGCTGTTCGTGCAGTGTAGCTTGGCAATCGCTGCTCGTGCAGTGTAGCTTGGCCATCGCTGCTCAGGGCCCTAAACATCTTCGTTGGCCGAAGTGCGCTCATATGTACTTGTATCATCACCCTATCTCTCAACTACGTGTCGGACAGACGTTGCACTCGTTGGTCTTTCGCTCGAGATGCGAAGAGAATGACGACCGACCCAGCGTTAGCTCGAGGAGGCACACGTCTCAAGAGCCACGAGTAGAGGTGCGTGTCCAGAAGGGCCAAAGGATCGCAAAATGCGAACAACTTGTTGATCCTTGGAGTGACCAAAGAACATGATGCGTGCAGAGGGACCTCATGTAGAGGTAGATCGGATCGCACGTAAGGGGGCACTGCAATCACGTGAATGCTCGCTCATACAGGAAAGTCAACAAGCTTGAATAAGATTTGACTTTTGTTTGACCCTTGAAGCCAGACTCCGACCCGCCATGCATGCTCCGGTCAAGTATGAGAGCCTTGGCGGAGCTTCGAGCACGCATCGCTCGTTGCGTGATAAGCAAACCCCCTTTGGTCTGGTCTTGTTTGGCGTGCCACTTGCCCAGCAACGATGACGGGCTGAGGCCCGTGCTTCGCGTACAGACTTGACCTTGCCAATCAGCTCGAGCCTTTCATCGATTCATGAACCAGGACTGCCACCGGAAATGTGGCTGTGCACCTCGGGGAGAGAGAATGCTGGTGCAGCCACGCGAGAAGTCCAAATGTTGCTGTGTAGGTACACGAGCGCGAGACACCACTCAAGATCCAGCACCAGCATCCTCCTTTGCTGCATGCCCGCGCGGCTGAGATCCAGCATGACCGCACACGCGTCAGCAATCGCAAGTAGCGTGGTGCGCCGGGATATCAATCGGGCCTCGAACAGGGGAAAGCTCTGCATATATATGCTTTGTGTCTTTCTACCGACCGCGCATGCTGGCGTGTGAATGGATGTCATGTCGCGAGGTCGCAGCTTAGCTCAAATGCTATACAGTAGCTCCCGATACCCTAAATTGATCAATAACGCGACGCGTACCGAGATCGAGCTTGCTTGTGCCGCGCTTGGCCTCCACGAACAGGGCAGGTCCTACGCGGACAGGTATGCGCACAATCACGGTCTAGACTGTCTCGATCCACACTTCAAGACCTGTCTGTGCAGCAACGTACCTCTGTACGAGGGTCGCCAGGCCAGCACTTGCCTTGAGCGGACCGCGATGCGAGGCTTTTAGGGGCCTTGCAATTCACGATTGCCTATAGCTGCTGCTGAATGAACCTCGCGCACGCACGGGCCGCAGTCCGGTGCTGTGGTGTAGTGGTAGTGGTGGGCATGCAATCCGCCTCAACGCCAAGGGAATGCCAGCATGCCTGAGCTCAATCAAGTATTCCAAGAGGTGCGTGCGTGCGACCCGCTGGATCCTGTGATGAGCGAGCGGCACTGGGCGTCGCATGACAATCGCGAATCCCTTGAATCCCTCAATCTTTAACCCGAGATCGTCTCCTGATGATAGCCGTTCATGTTCTGAAAAGTTGATGCAATTCTACGAATCATGCAGCTGAGAGCAAGGTAGCTTGGCAAGATTTCTTTGCGGTGCGATACAGCTGCTATAGCCAGCCAGAAGGATAGGTCCAAAGCGCGTGCAGGCGATGGAGACGCGCGCAGAGCTCTTGTCATGCTGCTGGCGGTCCACGCGTTCGTTGCGAGCGTCGCGCGGTCCCATACGCTGCATTGTGATTACAACACACGCATGCTGACTACTCGATCTGCGCCCGCGTTGCTATCGAAGCAAGGCGCAGCAGCAGAAAGGGGCGGATGTTGTATGATTTTGAAGTTGTGTGTATAGAAGCATCAGAATCAAACGTTTGCTACGCTGCTGCTGCACGTGTGAGTCCAAAGCGCTCGTGTGGTACGCCTGACTGACATCTTGATTCGTGCTGCTGCCCCGACTCATGACTGCCGGATGGAGCTGTCTCGTGATGAATGTGCATGATACGTGCATGACCATCATCACAGTCGTGAGTCACGAATGCAAGAATGGCATCAATTTCCTGACACCATGCAATGGCTGAGACGGGACGCGGGCCGCCATTCACGATTTGTGGTCGAGACCCGCGACGCGACACAAGAGGCTCAAAGCGCGTGCAAACCTCTGTACACGCGTCGCTGCTCGGCCTGTGCACGCAACTGTCGCGGCTAGCTAGCTGTTGACTGGCTTGGTTTCAGTAAGGCCTGCTCACAATTGTAGCATCTACGCTACATTCTAATTATTGTGAGTAGGTGCGTGCGCACCGCCGCCGCAACCCTGCTGTGCAGTGTCGCGGAACCTGATGTCTGAGCGAGGGCCGCTATCTTGTCGCTTATAACTGTGCTGATGTGGTGCTGCAGCAGCAGCCTGAGGGCGGGCTGATTTCCATGCATGCATGACGAAGAGAAGGGATGCACGCGCGCTAGGCGCGGGCGCTGATCGCCCTGCAGCAGCAGCATTAGAGACATTCGCAGTCATCAGCAAGCAGCATCAGCAGTAGAGTGATCGGCCACGAGTACGCCCCGCGGTAGGCGGCATCATGCACATATGCGGTGTACCGCGAATCACGTCGCAGGGGAGCACGGGCGCGGGTAATTTGATCGCGATTTTGACAGCCTTTATAGGGCGGGTAGCGCGCGCAGCCCACGGACGTCAGCAGGCGCAAGACAGCACCTGCTGCAATCGATCGAATTCGCAGCGACAGGAGCAGGACCTCAATAACTGGAGCGCAGCGCAAGCGCGGAAAGAAAAGAAATACGTTGCAGTAGTGCGGCCGCGCGATCACCCATGCGGCAAAAATCCATCCATCCACCTCTATCCCATCCACCTCTATCCCTTTACACACCTCACGCATCTGCCGCCGTCAAACCGCCTGCATTCGCCTTGGGGCTAGGCATCTGGGATTGCTGTTGCTGCCTTTGCAAGGTCTGCAAGCTCCTATCTCCCTTGTGACGACATCACGCTGAGCTTCACATCAAACATCCGAGCCTGTCATCCACCAACGCGCACACCTTTTCCCCCGAACTCAAACGACTTGCAGCATAAGCGACCTTGTCATCCGAATTGCGCAAACCCAGCCTTTCTTCGCCAGCGACGACTCTGACGACTACAATAACCTTGTTGTTCCCCGCACTCGTGACTCTAAAGCTCGAGATCGCACCAGCCCCCCCACCCTTCGCTTTCCAATCGCTCTGCGAGCAATCCGCCTTTCGACTTTTCGTCATCCATCCATCCACCAAATCATTCTTCCGACCGCCATTCTTCAACACCAGCTAGCCCACTACCTTTAGCAACTCTTCAGCTTCTCGTTCATAGCTTGCCTGTGTCTCGCATCCGCCCCGCCCGCACTCTCCCACCCTCGCGTCGAGCTTGGCCACTTGTGCCATCACTCTGCGGTCGCGCTATAGGGTATGCCGCCTGATCGACACGACGGTCAGCGCATCGTGCCATTTGCGGGGCGACTGCCTCCGCCCGACAGCGTTTCGAGCCGCGGCATACCCTTTCCAGTGACGCATTCCATGCCACCACATCTCGCCGCAGCTCGATCCCAGCCCTCTTCAAGCCAGATGGCGATCCCGTTCAAAGACACCAAACATGAGGCTATGCACGCAGCCGAGAATAGCGCCGCAGAATCCATGCTGGGCTTAAGCAGGAGTACGGAGGATGCAGACCCGAGTCGACATGCGCGATCTCTTCCACCGCCCACGCAAAACCTCCCGAGCATCAAGCACCTGCTCGCCCTTGATCAACCCGGTGAGTTCAGGCAGAGTTATCCGCGATGACTGCAGTGGTGTTGCTGGGTGCGAGAGCAGGTCCCCTCGGTGGCTTCTCGTCTTCGATGCGAACCTCGTGATGACGCCTTTGGTGTGAATACATACTCACCCCCTGCTGTCTCTTCTTTGCATTAGAGGATGTCGACTTCAGGTCCCGCTTGGATGCGTCGCAGCCCGCTTCTGCTGATCCGGCTTTCCCCGCTTCTGGCCTTTCCGCCGATCGCGTTCGTGAAGAGAGATTTCAGCCGCGATTTGCTTCGCAGGACAAGACGTTGCCCCGCGTTGCACCGCTTGCACCTTGGCCAGACGACCGATCCGTCGTCAGGGCTCATCCACAACAGCGCTCACCTGCTCATCATGTGGTGACAATCTCAGACCCGTCGCCGATGTTTGTGACGCAAGCCCTGCCTATCGTGGACAGCCCAGCCACACCTCATCGGCAGATCAGTCAAGCCGGCGATCGCTCAAGGAAACGTTTCGGAAACGATCCTTGCACGCCCGACGGCGGCATGACCCCTGCAGGTGCCCCGTCAGGCCGTCGACGACATACTCTAGGTGCGATGGATGAGCCTCCTGATCTTCCATCTCGTGTCTCCGCAGCGCCAACGCTTGTCGCAACTCACGATGGCCCTGCTGTGCCGACCCCTCGTCGCGGTCCGTATGACACTCCCAGGGCAGTGGTCACTGCTGCTGCTACGACACACGGCGACCGAATGCCCAACCAAATAGCCTCACCCACGGCCTTCTCCAATGCGAGGCGTGCCGCTAGCGACGCTCGTGCTGAGCAGCTGCACCGTCAACGCTATGACAGCGGGTCTCGCGAGCACATGGGCTATCCTACGTCGGCTCCACAACTTCCACATCACCTCGACAGATCCCGCATCTCCTCGCTGGAGAGCAAGCCCTCAAGCGTACCCTTTCGCCACCATCCACAAGGCTACGGCTCGTCCAGCTCTACGTGGAGCTCTTCTCGCTCTGACGTGGTTAGTCCCTTTGGCGGTCCAAGCGGTCTGCATAGCCGAAGTTCGACACAAGAAAGCTTCGAGCTTCCCGGCATGCACGCATCGGTCGGCAAGCAGCCTCCAAACGTGTATATGGAAGGGGGCCAAGACAGGCGGCACGACGAGTCGGCCAGCAGATCCGCAGCATTGCGACCTCCTGAGCCTGCTAGAGATGCTCAGCGCGCTCGCCACCAAAGCATGTGGGCTCCACAAGGCTGGCCTGAAGGTGCAATGGCGATGGGCGAAGATCTCCGCTCAGGCGTACCAAGACCCAGGGCTCAGACCATGACAACGTCCGGCCGTCCGATCGCACCTCTGCCCTCCTCATCGGCTCATCAACAGCACCGCCTTCCACACACGTCGGCGCAATTTGAATTCCCCGAACGCGGCGGCTGGGCGGCCAATCAAAGCATGCGCGGGCCTCAAGAACAAGAATACTCACCTCACCACTCATCCGCCGATCCTCCCTTCTCCATGGATGTAGACCATCCACGCACCATCCCTCGAGGCATGCATAGAAGCTACTCACAAGACCTCCGGCACACTGCTCAGATGCATTCACACCCTGGGCACGGCGCCGTCGCGGTTCGCCGCCCAGACTCGTCCGGAGGCTTGTCCTCGAGCTCATCTGCAGGACGAATGCCCGCGGCTCCCGGCGGTACCATTGCGCCCGGCACTTTGAAGTACATGTGCGTGTGGTGCTTCAAGCGCTTCAGCCGTCCCTCTAGTCTACGCATCCATGAGCACTCGTGAGTTGGAGTGCGCAACAAGAGGCAGACTTAGCAGACTGATCAATGCTCTTTTTCTGTGCGCAGCCATACTGGCGAGAAGCCGTTCGTGTGCAAGGAAGTTGGATGTGGAAGATGCTTTAGCGTGCATTCCAATCTGCGTCGGCACCAGAAAGCTCACCATGCTGCCAGCGAGAAAAATGGCGACGGTAAGGCTGGCGCTTCACAAAGACCTCCATCCGCCTCGCAGCACGCGCCTCCCTTCGCTGCACAACAGCAGGGCGTATACATGACTAGGCCAGATGCGGCTCACCGGGTCCAGACCAGTGTCGAGCAAGCGCCCTTCGCTCTCGCGACCCATCGAGCGCATCCACCTCTAAGTCGCTCCGCATATGAGCAGGGTTCCCGCGCGTCACTTGCCGCACAGCACTGGCCTGGCGCGGCGGGCTATGGACGGCAGGTGTCCAGCCGCGAGCGCAACCTATCAGGATCTTCGGGCGAAGGCGACGAGGACTCCGATCGTCAGCGATATCGTCCTTTGGGCGAGTCTCTCACGCATTCTGCCAAGCCCACGCCATCCTTTTCGGCTCCGTTGCCCACGGGCCGCCCTGACCATCCCAATCCCGACTCGTCGGTAGCGCCTGCCTTCTTTCCTGCAAGGATCTCTTCGCGTCCACAAGCTGCGCAAATGCAACAAACACCTCTCCAAGCTCTGTCGCCCGAAGCCGTCTCTGATGGCGAGACCGAGACAGCAGCCTCACCTGCTCCATCAGATCGCACTCTCACAAGCAGAAGAGAAGCTAGCACGGGTGCAATGCGCCACAGCTTCGCGACTCTTCTCAATGACCCTGGTCACTAGGCTTTGGTCCGTGACGAATCAAGACTGAGCGACACTCACCATCAGGTCTTCGCTTCACTTTCAGCGAGCTCGCACGCCAAATCTTCTCTCATCCGCCCATGGAGCTGTACAACAACACTCGTTTTCAATGGCCAATTTCTGCGGATTCTCTCCAGCATTTGTACACGAGGCTCGCCGCACCACACTCTTTCGACTCGGTATCGCTAACAGCAGCTCTCCGCGACCGGGGAGATGGCTGAAGACTTTCCAATCTATCTTGCTACCCGTCGGTCGACACGCATCTGTACAGTCTATCTCATCGTAGGCACTCTCGGTACCGTTGAGGCTCGCCTTTTCTCTCGTTCCTTTTGCTTCTTAACTAGCTTGTTCAACTCCACTTGTCCTTCTCCAGGCCGCGCTTTCTGTTTGCGCTCGCATGCAGGTTTGATAACTTGCACACGCAGTACTATCCCGTTCGCTCTCGCCGCTCCACCATCACTGCATCCTTTTGATTTGAAATTGATGATTTTTCCCCAACTTGTCACCAGCCATTGCGTATGCTCATGCTTCGCGTCGCTTTCCGTCGAGGACTGCCCCTCGACTTTAGCTACCTGGGCGTCCGTTGCAACTCCACAATCATCAACAGTACTCGAATGTGTGGATGAGCATCATCATCACTGCTGTGCCTCTGCTGTGATTAGCTCGTCAGAAGTCGGACGTTCCACTCTGATGCGACGACGTCGATGTTGGCGACTTTGTCCTTTTTCGTGCAGCTCTTGCATGTAAGCGCTTGCTTGGCATGAGCAGTCGTTCAAAGGTCAGACCAGGTGGATGTCGCAGCAGACTAAAGAGGGGACACAGATAGCGAGGAGGTGTACACCCCCGCAGGATTCAAAAAGACGCTTCGGAAAGCACAGCACAGCATTGCACTTTCAATTGATCTCAGCTCTGATGGTTCGCAAGACTTGGTGAAAGGCTTGATCGAATCCTGGCGCGTCGCGAGAGCCGGCATTTGCCTCTTCACCATCCTCCCTCTTGAAGAACAAAGCCTCTAGGTCTGCGCGTCTTTGCGTTCGGAGGCTGCGAGACGCGGTGGGGTCGACGATGAACACGCTAACGCTACCGCCGACTCCATGCGAAGCGTCCCGCAGCGTAGGCTCGGCAGCATCCCCAGCATGCTTGGGTGGATGATCTTGCTGCGTTTCCAATCTGTCCGAAAGTGGCGTCAGACGAATGTCCACTCTGACATGTCTAGACGGAGCGGTGGGTCTCGACCTCATTGTGGATCCTGGCTCGCCCGCTACACCGAGCGCGCTCTCGACTGCCAATGCATCCGCATCCTTCTCATCTATCACTGCTTCTAGCCGCAGAGAAGTATACGAGGCCGATGCGTATCCTTCAGGGGGGTAGTAGTCCCCGTCCAGATCTTGCTGTGCCGATACAGACGCGAATGCCTGCCTTCGTGACACGAATGCTTGCAAGTACGCATGCACGGCACTCAAGAAAGTCTGCAACAGGACCGAGGAATAGCGACCGATCAGCGTAAACTTTCCTCTTCTTTCGCACACTACCAAAGGCAGTCCGATGCTCACATCTATTCCTCCGCCGATCGCATTGAGAGACGCGACCAAATTCCATCCCCGCATCATCTCGTCATCATCTTGCGGCGGTGCGGAAGATGTCGGCAGGAATTCGTCGACCAGCTGAGCAAGAGGTATGCAGCTCGGAAGAGTGTGCCTCAACAATCTGAATGGTCCTTCTGCTGAGCTAAGTTGGGCGTCGGAGCTTCGTGAAGTGCTTTCTATCGTGGACGATGTTATTCTCGCTTCGACTGGGGGAGGTGCTCGACCGAACAAGAGATAGTGTGGGCTGTGAAAGCGGCCTTGAAGACGCCAGGCTCGCCAAGGATCAGCTTTCGTGTACGATAATGGAGCGCATCACTGAAGCTTGCACCACGCCTCTTTGGCATCGACGGTCTCACGGGCCACGTGGACCATTGCGGATTGAGTACTGCCAAGTCGTCAAGACTCTCACCATTCACAAATGCTTCCATCCTCGCTCCGATCCCGACATGTCCACCTCCCGTTAGCGACTTGGCCCTCCTTCCAGGTGAGAGGTCGACCAAAAAGCAAGTCCAACCAAGCGTTCTACAAAGCACCAGACTCTCTTCTGCCTGAGCAAGCTGTTCTGCCAAATCCTGTTCTTCCGGCGAGTCCTTTTTGCCAAGTGAAGACGTAGGAATGGGCGCAGATTTGACGGATTCCAATTCCCTCTTCAAAGAAGCTCTTTGCGCTTTCAACGAGGCCACTGCAGGTGATTGGCACGAGGTGAAGGCGTCAGTCGTGCGCAAATTTGGCATAGATCGCCGAGCAAGTGCTCACGCTTCATTCGCAACCCTTCGAGACTGGCAGATGGACCGGAAGAGGGGCCAGCTGAGGAGCTGAGCCTACTTTCAGAAGCAGCTGCATCGGCAAAAGGTGAGGAGCTGGGCGCTTGTGAGGGTGCGACCGAGGTCATTTCGCCTCAGATGGGATGCGAGGCGATGAAAAGGGTGGCAGTGAGTCGTCGTGCACTTCACGTGAGCTGTCCTCGAGGTTGCTCAAGCTGAAGTGACGCGGTGATTTGCAGTCTTGCAAATTACAGCGACTGTCAATGACTCGAGTGTTGGGCAGTGCTCAATCAGGGCAGTCGGGAGCGCATGGAGCTGTCGTAGAGTGTGGTGCAACGAGTATCGAGGTGGCTGGCGGCCGGGTGCACCGCCGCATGCACGCAGCACAAGCTCAATCGTGATCAACCAACACGATCCGCGTCGCGCCCGCTCATCACGCGAAACGCGTCGCGTGCTTGCATGGCGAAAGTGCAAACCCAACGCTCGCTACCTCTGCAGGAACGGGTACAACATCACGAATGACACAATCCACACAGAGGGCCGGGCTGAGCGGAGTTTGTCGTGCCTACTGTGCCATTAGTATCCTCTATGGACTTTCTGGGAGGAAATTATTCTTCCCTCGAGCACTAGAATGGCAGCTCAAGTCGGATCGACGCGACAAGAAAGCATCAAAAAGATTAAGAACCTTTGCGGGTCGCGGGCCTCGAAAGGCCATGGTAGCCACGAAGGCTGATTTCTTTCAGATGAAATGACGGAAACGCACTCGCGACCAGGCTCTAACCGTTGAGAGATGCGGACATCTCGATGCGCAATGTTAGGTTGTCTTACTTGACAGCTAACGCTTTCTAGGCTCAGCGGCACGCCAATCGAGTCGAATCGAGTCAGCTCGATGCCGCGTCTGCAAGGACCGCGTGGTCGCGCGCAGCAGCCGCCTTTTTACGCAGCAGGCCCCGCTTGTACACTGCGCTACCAACGGTCGGACCTGCGAAAAGCCAGGTCACCACAGCACACGCCTGCAAGCAGCCTTCCTTGCAAACGCCTTCGCTTCTTCGTTGCACCCACGCAGGTCGCCATAAGCAATGGCAACGCACTACTCGTCTATCTACATGTATGTGCTCGACATTTGACACTCGCCTGCTGCGTCAGAAGAGCATCGACGAAGGCACACGAATTCGATTCGAGTCTAGGCACTTTACGGCGAATTTTGACCCCTCGCATCCCACAGCATGCAGGGGGTAAGCGGCGGGCACGGTAGAAGCGGGCTGCCATCCCTCCTCCAGGCCCCCAGCCATGCTTTTTGCAAGCTCACTCAGAAAGCACGACCGTGCTCTTTGTCTCGCGTATGTGCACCGTGGCCAAAGCCGATGGAAATTGGCACAATCCAAGCTCGTCACGAATTGGCATGAAGGTTGCATTCCTCATCGGCCTGAGTGTTTGTCTGGCCTCGACCTGGCTGGCGGTCATGCGCATACACATGCGAAAAGCCCCGCCGCATGCAGCAAGCAGCAAGCAGCATGAAGCTTCCGACCTCTCACCGCCGACTTCCGCAGCTCCAAGCTCCAAAATCGATGGAAGGGTTCGCGTTCGGATGCAAAGGTGGGTGGGTGGATGGTGGATGGTGGATGTGCTGTCCTGTCCTGTCCCGTCTTTGCCGACGATGCGTTCGCGCCTTGCTCAGAGGCTCTCATCCTCGGGTCACCCCTGCGTGCTGTAAACCTCAGACTTTGCTTAAGCAAGAGGTTGCTCAGTCGTCAACAACGACGATCCACCGAGGCCCGCTGCAAGTCTCGCTCGACCTTCACATAAACCTCGCGTACCTGGCCGAGCCACCTCTGATCCTTGCCCCAAGTCACCCCTCGCTGTCACGAGCGTTCGGTGAATGCTTGATCGCGAGAAGCGCAAATCGGCCCTTGCACGGCTGGTAGGTCAACCAACCACTTCATCCGTCCTTCCCACGACTGAAGCATGCACGAGGTGCAGGCTGCAGAAAGCGCATGGCGTGGTTGGCCAAAAAGCGCACCAACCGTGTGCTCACGCTGAGCTTTCGCGTCTCCTGCTGCTGGCGAACACGCACGCACGCACGCACGCA